GTGTGATTATATTATTATAATTAATTTTATTTATTTATTTTCTTATATTTTTTATAAAATTAAAAATTTTAATAATAAAAGAATATAAGGCACTAACTTTCCTTTTTTTTTTTTTCTTTTCTTTTTTAACTTTTGCATCTAGTGAACTAAATGGGCGGCAAAAATCCCACCCAAATGCCAAAGGGAAATACTATTGGGAAAATAATTTTATCCTACTTTTTTTGTACAATCTGATATGTTATTAAAATGATTGGTTTTTTTAATTCATATAAAATCTGTGATATTGAATGCATTTACTTATTTAATGATATGTGGAAGTTATATAAAAAGGTGGGACAAAAAAGTTGTCCCTATAGCACCACTCAATGTCAAATCCCAAATCCCTTGCCACATAGGCATGACATGGCAGTATTTGGCCACATAAGCAAATCCCCAAACAGCAATTAAGTTGGTAGTAAGAATTAAGGGTAAATTGCATCAATCACATAGTTTAGGGACTTATATGTATCAATTAAAGTTTAGAGGCTCAATAGCAATTCTAATGTTAGTTTAGGGGCTTAACTTATAGTTTTACCATAAAAAAGATTATTTTCTTACGTATCATCCACTCATCAAATGTAAAATATATATATATTTAAAAATAAAAATCACTAACACAAATTTTATATTTTATATTTATATAAAATTTTAATTTTTTATTTTTTATTTTTAATAATTAAAATTTATTATAATTTTTTAAAAAATAAATAAATAATACAATAAATAAATAAATTTTAACTATTAAAAATTTTTAAAATAAATAATTAAAATTTTATATAAATATAATATATAAAAAATATATAAATAAATCTTTATTCTTATTTTAAATTTAGATCTTACTTATTATTTTTTTAAAAAAAATTATTTTGGAACGGGGCTCGAGGTGCCCCTAGACTAGATATCCTTCGAATGAAATATGACCTTTCATTTACGTGGTTGGGAAGTGGTTTTTTCCTTCGCGCAAATTGCGTGTGTTTTTAACTTTCCTCGTAACCTAACCCAGTTGGGTGAAGATCCCTTTGTTTAACCTCACAATTATAGTATCCTTCCATTCTCAAAGCATTGGCAATATATAGTTGATGCCACGTCCATTTTAACGAAAATGGTGTTATAAGGATAACTTTTTATATTATTTTTTATATAATTTTTATATGTTATTGAATAAATAAATTTATTCAATATTATGAATCTCATATAAATAAAAAAATCAATTAGTTAAATGACATATCAAATTATACTAAAAAATGATACAACAAAATTATCCCAAAATTATTTCTTATTTTAACAATATATGATGACATCTAAATAAGACTTCTAAAATGACACTAAATTTATTTTATTTCTCAAAAAGTTAAAAAGTGAGCCCAAAATGTTAATAATAATCATAATAAAGTATAAGACCATCTTTACTGTAGAGAGTTGGTCTCAACTCTCAAGAACAGGGACCCACTCTAATAGGTGCGGGGGGGGGGGGGGGGGGGGGGAGGGGGTTAGTAACACTTGAGTTTTGAGAGTCAAATGATACTTTCTTTGGAGATGGCCTTATACGGTAGTTCATAACTGATTAACCGATAGTTAAGACAGGTCCCTAGTTAGTTTCATTAGAGAGGTCTAGGATTGTTATGAAATTATTACCTTTTTCCTTATACGGTGATCATAGAGCTTTTGTGTTGAAGGCAAGTTAAATGGAGTTTTTGTACATCCACATATATAACCGTGATGCTCAATTCTCGCACCTTCCTTTTTACACCGATGAAAACCAACGTTCTCTTAAATTGTTTATTGCTGCGTTCCAATGATTGTCGTTTTTCTTTTAGCAGATTTTTTTTTAACAGAAAATGAAATTTATTTATTAATTTGGAGTACAAGAGATACTCCAAATCCATATTACAAGAAAAGGAGAAAACACAACCCAGGGCTCTAATAATCAGATTGTTTGGAATTTACATTTTTTGTTGTGAAGGCTACAAGACTGCTCAATCCTGGTTGTTGTATCTAATCCGTGAGTGTAATCCCCTTCCTTTCACCTTTGAGTTTCAGCCATTGGAATGAACAGGCTTGCACCAAGTCAAATAGCTTCCCCTCATCCAAGCATTTGTTCTGGAATATTACCTTATTTCTTGCCAACCAAATGGTCCATGTAACTGCAAACCACATAATGTCCCAACCTTTTTTGACAATTGTGTTGGTGAGAAGATCTTTGTGCTGAGTGAAGGCATCCGAACAAGTTTCTGGCATTACATGTTTAATTCCCCACCAATGAAAACATTGAGACCAGAGCTTAAAGGTTGTTTTGCAATGAAGAAATAAGTGGTTTAAGTCTTCAACAACACCAGTGCAAAAGACATAGTCAAGTCCATCTTAAGAGTTGTACACCCATTGTTTTGATAGGTTGAATTTGGAAGGTATGCGATTTTGAATTAATTTCCAGGTAAGAGCGCATACTTTGGAAGGGATATTACGGTTCCATATCCTGGAGCAAATGTTGGGATCTATAAATTCATTGTCAACAGCAAGCAAGGCGTAGGTTTTTCTAGTGTTGTAAATACCATCTATGTTGTGCTTCCATCTCCACGTGTCCTGAATTTCATGCTGGAGTTTAACCCCGTTTAGAGTTGTTATAAGGG